TATGGGGAAGAAATGTGTGGGCATTCAGAGGGACCAGGGAAGGCTGGCTACTTGGTAGTGGCTGAGGGGGTACAATATGTCAAGGGCTTGGTTCTGAGGAGGAGATGGAAGAGCAGTTCTATTTACAGCCTTCTTTGGAAAGTTGTGGATGGAGAGAAGAGCAGGATGGGAAATGGAGGGAGCACCGCTGGTGCGCTCACCAAGCACAGAATCAGCCCCTAGGACTGTTCTTCTGTCCTGCTGTCAGTCCTAAAACAGCAAGGGATGGGGCCATCTTAACAAGAGATTAACCTAAATTCTCAATCTAACCCATGAAAAGAAGACAGAGTTTTATTGTACAGTATCAAGATAGATGTCTATAAATGGGCAAAACCTCAAAGCATAAATTCTGATGTTAAAATGTCACATTCTGAAAATGATGGAAACTGAATGCACCTTAAATGTGTCATTTGCATTTTGTCAGTTTCAAATGTTCCCTTTTTATCCTCTCCTTTGTGCTCAAACACTGCAAATTCAGAGAAATGTGTGGCTTTTGGTGTAGAAAGATGTCCCGCCCCTATCTTCATAGATTTATCAATTTGAAGAAAAAACTACAGGTTTCTTAGAAATATTTTCCCCAACACATATGAATAATTTCACTGAGATATTTTGAAAAAAAAATAGTATTAATGAGTACCCACTCTGTGCCAAGGACAGCCCCAAAGGAATACAGTACTTCAATGATAACATTTCTAGCTATTTCACTAAAACACATTTTTCATTCTCTTGGAGCAAACCAAAAGGCTTGAAACTTTAACATGATCATTCAAATTCAACTGTAATGTTTTTAACTTCACAAGAATTTTTAAATTTACCCATGTGGAATATTTTATATTTCAAAATGTGCCAGTTCCAATTTGAAATATATCTGTGATTTAAACAATTGAATGAGATTTCAATATCAGGTATACTAAAATTTAGTCAACAGTCAAAACACTGATTACAATCCTGAATTATTTTATTTCAAGTTCCAACTTATTAAATCGTGCATTATAAATCCAGATTGTTCAGAGATATTTCTGTAATGAGCAGATGACCAAATGGTATCAATGCAGCTGTTTGACTGATTGAGACCAATGGTGATTTGTCACGTGATCCTCCTACCATCCTTCTTTACCGCTTTGTCAAGACATATCCTCGGTCTCAAGGGGACCTGAGTTGCACCATGTGGATACATCAACAGAAATTCAGCAATACTACTGGGAAGACATCCTAACGTTGATAATGAGTGGGAGGGAAACAATGGAAGTCTCACCTTGAAACACTGTTTAAATATCAATAAGGTGTTTGGTTCTGTGTGAATGACAGTTGGTCTATAAATAACTGTTTCTGAGTAACTCTATTATTGAGGTTGTTGGTAAATTTTGGTGCAGGTTACCTCTTGCTAGGATGACCAAGAAAAGTATCATCTGTAAGGGAAGCTGTATCCAGCTCCATCTCTTCCTCCCAACAAGTAAATCAGGATGGAAAGGGATTGAGGTAGGCGAATTAAAAGGAATGAAGTCATTTATCCCTTTAGAGAGGGCAAAAGAAAAGGGCGTGGGTGGGAACAAGAAAATTACTACATCCATCTAAAACACCTTGGTAAAGACTTTTTTCCTCTTCTTTTTATTTGTCTGCCTAATTCAAAAACCAGAAAGAAGAAAGAGAGGGAGAGGGAGAGGGAAGGGAAGGGGAGAGGGGGAACAAGAAAGGGAGAAATAAATGCAAGGAAAGGTAATAGAGAGTAGATGCTCTATCGTTCTCTCTCTTCCCTGCATCCACCCCCTGCCGTAGGACTCCTCTGGCAGCCGATGGAAACAGAGACTGAGAAAGAAGCTGCGGTCCTGTTGTGAATGAGGAAGCTGTGAGGACTTTAAATCAAAGCAAAGTGACAGAGCAGTAAAACCAGGAGGAGCTCAGGGAGTTCAGCTCCACAGCAAGCAGATGAGAAAAAGGAGCCAAAGGTTTCCCTTTCTAAAGATATAAAAGAGAGAGGAAGACCAGACATTATCATACTTAACAAAGGGTGAATAAAGGAAATATTTTAACTTAGGCTGGCTAACTTTGCAAACTTCAATTAAATAACCTTTTTAAATGCTGTATATTTTATAATATAAGTTTAATAAATAGATGCACATTTGCTAATTGTAGTGTAGAAAATGCCCAGTCATTCATCCTTAGGAGAGAATTTAGGCAGAGAACACCATTCAAGCTTCAGGAAAGCTGTCATAACAGCCACAATGAAACATGAAGAAGGCATTGGCACCCAGCTGACATTCAATAAATATTTTTTGAAAGGATCAAGAGTGACTTCTGGTCAAGATGGAGGTGTAGGTAGACACGCTTCGCCTCCTCGCACAACCATAGAAAGAATTACAACCGTATCTCAGAAACAAATAGCACCCAGAACTGTCAGAAAATTGAGCTGTATGGAAGTCCAACCATGAAGGATTTAAAGAAGACACATGTATCCAGACAGGTAGGAGGGCAGAAGTTGTGAAGCCAGGGTGGAGAGGATGTGGTGTGGTGCACAGAGGCGGTGGCAGCATGGACAGTCCCTTGTTCCCATGTAGTAGATAAAAATTGGGAGGGATACCTTGGGAGTGAGTGATCCCAGCCCCAGACCAGACCACACAGACCAGGGTCCCAGCGCTGGAAAGATAAACCCCCATAACTTCTGGCTGTAAAAACCAGTGGGGGGTGGGGCAGCAGAAGAAACTGCTGGATTTTCACCACTTAAAGGGCTCATACACGTTTGGAACAAACACAAACCCCACAGCAGCAGCTGGAACAGTGCCAATCATATACAGGAGGTAGGTAAGGTCACTGGAGGTGGGGTGAGTGCCTGGCAGGCCTCAGAGGCCAGGCAATGGCATTGTCCCCTCTCTGGGGTCTCCCTCATACAGAACCACAGAGCAGTGAAGTGGGTTGCCCTTCCCTGGCAATTACCTAAGGTTAGACCCCACACAATTTACAGGGGCCTTTTCTACAATCTGCCAGGCTACTAATATAGGGAGTAAAAGCAGTTCTACCTAATACATAGAAACAAACACAGGGAGGCCATCAAATTGAGGAGGCAAATAAATATGGCCCAAACAAAAGAACAGAACTCCAGAAAAAGAACTAATGAAATGGAGATAGCCAACCTATCAGATGCAGAGTTCAAAACACTGGTGATTAGGATGCTCAGAGAGCTCATTGCGTAAAGCAAAAACATAAAGGAAGAAATAAAGATTACAGAAAGTGCAATAAATAAGAATGTAGAGGGAACCAACAGTGAAAGGAAGGAAGCAAGGATTCAGATCAATAATTTGGAACAAAAGGAAGAAATAAACATTCAACCAGAACAGGAAGAAGAAACAAGAATTCAAAAAAAAAAAGAGGAGAGGCTTAGTAACCTCTGGGACAACTTTAAATGTATAAACATCTGAATCATAGGGGTGCCAGAAGAAGAGGAAGAGCAAGAAACTGAAAGCTTATTTGAAAAAATAATGAAACAAAACTTCCTTATTCTGGTGAAGGAAATACACATACAAGCCCAGGGAACTCAGAGAGTTCCAAACAAGCTGGACCCAAAGAGGAAAACACCAAGACACATCATAATTAAAATGCCAAAAGTTAAAGAGAGAACCCTAAAAGGAGCAAGAGAAAAAGCAGAGAGTTACCTACAGAGGAGTTCCCATAAGACTGTCAGCTGATTTCTCAAAAGAAACTGCAGGCAAGAAGGGACTGGCAAGAAGTATTCAAAGTGATGAAAAGCAAGGACCTACCACCTATATTACTCCATCCAGCAAAGCCATCATTTAAAATGGAAGGGCAGATGAAGTGCTTCCCAGACAAGGTAAAGCTAAAGGAGTTCATCATCAGCAAGCTCTTATTGCATGGGATGTTAAAGGGGACTATGTAAGAAAAAGATGATCAAAACTATGAAGAGTAAAATGACAACAAACTTACAACTATCAACAACTGAACCTAAAAACAAAAACTAAGCAAACAACTAAAACAGGAACAGCATCACAGAAATGGAGATCACATGAAGGGTTATAAGCAGGGAGGGGAAGTGGGAGAATGGGTGAAAAAGTACAGGGAATAAGAAGCATAATTGGTAGGTACAAAATAGGGGAATGTTAAAAGTAGTCTAAGAAGTGAAGAAGCCAAGGAGCGTATATGCACGACTCATGGACATGAACTAAGGGGGGATTGCTGGAGGGAAGGGGGGGACCAGGCGAGGGGGCAAAGGGGGAAAATTGGGACAACTGTAATAGCATAGTCAATAAAATATACTGGAAAAAAAAGCATCTAGCACCTGTCTTGTACACAGTTGGTGCTCAATAAATGCCCTCTTTGGAATTAAATAAACCTGGGCTCAAGTCATTGTCTCATCCTGAGCCTCAGTTTGCCCATCTGAAAAATGGGCTCACAGTGGGCACTCGGCAGGAGCAGCATCCAGCACCTAGCAGAGTGGATGACTTAAGTGGGCAGGATGGCAAGTGTTGTGCCCCAGCGTTCTTACTTTGGAGGGGTAGACATGGAAATAAAGAACAAACTGAAGTGACCAGCGGGGAGGGGGATAACGAGAGAAAGAAGGGGAAGGAGCAAAGGAACACTCCCTGGTAAGTCAATGGGCAAGCCTGCCCCTTAGATTGTGACACCCCTCCCCCACGTATGACGTCACTCCGGAGTTGCCAATGGTAACCCTGAGGGCTCTGTGAGGTCACCCCATTCCACTCCACAAAGACTCATCGGGCCCTAGTCACTGGCTCGTCTCTGTCCCAGGGAAGCTGCTGAGACCTGCGGAACCGAGAGCCGTGGTCACGACAAAGCTCCTGAGAGAGACGCGGACTGTTGGGAACCAAGGACACTGCAAGTGGTGACTGTGGGAGGCCGGTACCAGGGGGAAAAGTCTCGTGGGCGTTAGTGGGGTCATTCGGCAGTTCCCGGGAGGCCTAGCTGGGGCCCTGTCACTGACGATGGCCATCATGGTCCTCGGTTGGCTGCTGTTTGTGGTGATACCTCTGCCATCCGGCACAACCGGCATTAAGAGCTGTATGTTCTGTGAGCTGACCGACTCTCTGAGCTGCCCCGGCATCCTCATGAGCTGCGGCGAAGATGAGGAGTGCTTCACGGGCGAGGGGACGGCTCCCGGCGTCGGCGCCATCACCAACAAAGGCTGCGTGCGATCCAGTTTGTGTGGCCGCGAGGAGCCTGTCACCTACCAAGGCGTCACCTACAGCCTCACCTCCAACTGCTGCTTCGGCAACATGTGTAACAGGGCCCCAAACCCCGCAGGCAGCCAGATGGCGGTGACCCTCATCGGACTTGCGCTGACCGGGCTGCTGCTCCATTGGCTGTGATGGCAGGGCCTAGGACTGGACTCGAGGCTCTACTGCTCCTTCTACCCCCTGCCTCCACCCCTTTTCCCCCATTAAATGGTGAAATGCCTTAAACAACTTGTGGTTCTGGCTTCACTCATTCCAGGGGTTAGCGGTTGGGAGAATGCGCCATGGGTTTCACTGTACTACTGTTATGTCATTGGTCCTAAGACGTGTATCTTTTCACACTTTGATCAGGACACTTCCTTTCATTGGTGATACCTTATAATTGATGAAATATGGTAAAAAAAAATAATATTAGGGGAAGGGGCAAAGGAACATGAGCAGAGGATTCATGGGAACAGACAAGGCGGGGGAGGTGGGGGAGGGTGGGGGGAGGTGGGGCGGGGGGGGGGGGGTGGGGGAGGGGCGGGGATTACCGGGGGGGAGGGGCCATGGAAGAGCAATGGGGAAAATGGCAGGACAACTGTAACTGAAAAATAAAGTAAAATAAAAATAAACAAGTGAATTGCTGAAAGGTAAAGTGAGGCAATAATATTAAAAGGTTTAAGAGTCTGAACAAAAATCAATTTGAATTGCGTAGTATCTAGTCTAGCAGGAAGAAAAGGACTCCAAGGAGCTGTCGAAAATGAAAGAGTTCCCTAGGCAAACGGGAACAGGAACCAAGACATTGTGCTAGACAAAAAAGCAGGTTGGTTTCTGCAAGGTCACTTTCCCTTAGGGGGTGGCAGGGGTCTATCAGGCAGATGACCTAACTACTGCTGACAAGGTGATTCCTGATTGGCTGGTGTAAGATTGCATTTCTGGGAGAGCTAAAACTGTAACCAAGTCTTGGTTTGGTAACATGGGGCTTAGCATAAGCAACTCCATTTTGGGTCTATTGTCTTAAAATAAATGGATGCATGAATGAATAGATGAATACAAGCAAGCTGGTCACAGAATCCTGAAAATTTCAGGAAAATGTGTTAAGATTGAAAAAGCAAACTCTGGATAGCAGAAAACCAAAGTTACAAAATAAAAGAAAATGCCTCCTCCTGTGGAGAGCATCACTCAGCTTTTAACGACAGACTATCTGCATATTTACATTGAACTAAACACATGGACTTGACAGCTTACTTTACAGTGTGTTCTCCTCACCACTGTGTTTCTTCAGAAATCTGCTAAACAAGAACTAAATGCCCAAATGTATGCACTGTGGCATTTCTGACGTTGAATGACAATGCACAACCTCTGTGGCATAATATGATAGGCATTTCCTCCCAAAAAAGCTTTCCAGAATGTAAAACTTGCATCCCATTTGCAGTGCTTGAGACAGAGTGATTTGCCCTCCATTAAACACACTTTGCAGTTAATCCTCTCAAAAGTGTGTTCATAAGCCAACCAAAGAGCTCTGTGCATTAAAAGATTTGGTCATGGCCATGTTCTAATGACCATCAGATCACCAGGCAGTGGAGTTCTTTTACCTGCAATTTTCCTCTGATAGGACCTGTTTTAAATATGCAGGTGCTGGGAGATGGCTGGGAAGCCAAGCCAAGAGGAGCAAGTGTGAATTATAAGCACATCAGAGCCTTGGAAATTGGCAAGCCCACTTCATAAGTAGAAATGTCCCTTAGCAGAGGCCATCTGTCTCACATTCCATGTTGAGTCTTTTACCTGTTCTTTTAAGTAACAAAATATGGCACAGCAGGAACTTACCACTCAAAGGACACGTCTTCAAGAACAAATTAATGGCTCCATTTAAAAGGCAGTCAAAATATTGGCTATGAGTGTGGGGACCAGGCAAGGCTGGCCTTCCCACACGCTTCCAACCTCACTTACCGCTTTTCCCTCCCCACACGTGCCCCCACACTACGAAATACACAGTCTCACCACAGTCTCCTCTGGCGTTACTTTGTGATTTTCACTTAGTTTTGGTCAAAGCAGCAAAGATAACGAGTCAGGTGACTTCCAGATTTGAATCTAAAACCTTCACTTTCAGGCAAAGTGGTCCTGGAAGAAATAACCTGAACCTCTCTAGGACTCAGTTTCTTCATCTGCAAAATGGGATAAAACTAGTACCTTTCTCGTGGGGCTGATGTGAGACATGGGGGGAAATGCATGTAAACTGTTTAGCAGAGTGGCGTGCAATGCATACTCACTGGATGGTCACCAATTATAACAGCAGCTCTCTAATACTATACTTATAGCGATCCTATGCAGTTGTCAAACCATAAAGTTAGTAGAGGTTTTAAGAGCATTAAAAATCAGAGTTCCCCATTAAAATCTACTGTTGTCATTGTTTTGTTTTGTTCTTAGCACTGATCCTCCAGGTTCCACCCTCAAGAGCTTGTGAATGAATTGATTTTGGTGGGTCCTGGGTAGTAGGGTTATTTTTAAACTCTCCCAGGGATCCCAAGTGCTGCCGGAGTTGAAAGCTACAACTCCCCTCCCTTTCACAGATGAGGCTGAGCCCCCAAAAGCTGAACTGACCTCCTCCAGGTCCCATGGCTGTTTGGTACGATCAAAGAAAAACCAGGGCTAGATAGCAGTGAAAGTAGTAGAAACGGATTCTATTCAGCATTGTTGTGATAGGGGCAAGAGACCTCGGTGAAGAGCGGGGCCCAATTCTGAATACAGCACAGGCAAGTGGGAATCTATAGCCAAGGTGCAGGGAGGGGCGCAGTGAATAAAAAATCACTAAGAGGAAACAACAGGAGTAAGGAGGAGACTTTCTAAACTGACCTGGCAGGGTTCTTTGATAAAGACAGGGTATGGTGGTCGGACATCACCTGGGGATGGTGGAAGATGAGGAACCTGATTTGATGCTGAGGGAGATTAGATATGAAGGATGAGGGCTCTTGCCAGACTGACTTAGAAAGGTTCTTGCTAAAACTGATTTTACAAAGAAATGCCCAGATGGGCCTAGGAGAAGGTCTAGGAGCCTGACTCAAGTTTGGTCAAGCAAAGGCTCTTGGTCAGTATGCTTAGGCCTCAGCCTCAATGTTGGTATTTGTGTCCCTTGCATATAATCCTGAAGTGTCTACTCAGTAAAGTTCTACCTGAGAAGACATTACTTATCTTCTAAAGAACATTTTCACCCTGGCTGGTGTGGCTCAGTGGACTGAGTGCCGGCCTGCAAACCCAAGGGTTGCCGGTTTGATTCCCAGTCAAGGGACATGCCTGGGTTGCAGGCCAGGTCCTCAGTAGGGGGTGCGTAAGAGGCAACAACACATTGATGTTTCTCTCCCTCTCTTTCTCCTTTCCTTCCCCTTTGTCTGAAAATAAATAAATACATAAAATCTTTTTTAAAAAGAATGTATTTTTCACCTACAATGAGGCTTTCGAAAAAGAAGAAAGATGCCCAGTCCTTAGCTGGTAGATAGCCCTCAAGGGACATCGGTTTAGGGACCTAAGAGTTTAAGGTTCTAGGACCCAAAGGTGATTGCTGGGTCCTGGCCAGTGAAGCACAACTTGTTTGGATGTTGTCACCAGAAGCATGTGTGACTGAGGGCTTCACCTCCTGTCTGGTGCTCAATTTAATAGCAGTCACAAAACGGACAAGAAAATGTCTACTACAGCCTGTTCCGTATCAAGGCCAGGGTTTTGCCTGCTTCTGTTTTTCTTTATTTTGGATCATGGATGTCTAAGTATGAAATCTAAAACTTAAACAACATAAATTCGGTTATGCAGCAGCCTTACTCCAGCCCAGCACTATTCCTGCCCCCGGGCCTTTGATTGTACTGTTCAAAGTGTTCTCCCTTCTCCTCCTTTCCCTCTGTGCAAAATTCTACCTGCTCACCAAGGTCCAACTTTGTCTTAACTAGCCGTAACCCTGAACATTTTTTTCTTGCCTATGAACTATCACACCAAGTCAATATCACACAGTTCAATATTTAATCGAATTTAGATACTCAATTATGAGCTCCTCAGGGTAGGGAATTGTGGGAATGCTTTTCTGTATATAACACTAGAATATAGCTGAGCACACATCAGACTTTTTGATAAACAACTCTGGTTTGGTTTAGTTTGGGTCTATTTCTTCTTAAAGGGGAAGCAATGGGTGGGTTAATGAAGGGAAAAAATGGTATGGATAAGCTAGAAATTAAAAACTTAATGGGCAGATCAACATTGTCAGAACAGATTGAGGAGGAACTAATAACAACAGGGAGGAAACGAGCATGTAAAGAATCAAAACCTCTACTCCAGAGAGCAAAAGTGGGCCTCCTGGAGGTAAAGCTTGGAAGAGAATATGACTCTTTAAAGCCCTCGCTCTCAACTCACACAGAATATTTACAAGGAGAGTTCAGAAAGTGCTTTCTTCCTTTTGAAATCCAGAGAGAAATCTGAGGTGCCTCCTGTAACAGCGTGAATTATTGCTGAGCAAATATTCCTTCTCCCCCACCCCAATTATGAATACACTGCACTTCCTTGGCCCCTTGACATTGGACTTCACCATGTGACTCACTTTGCACAATGGCATGTTGAAAGACATAACACAAGCAAGGCCTTAAATGTGCTTATATAACTGGGCTTGGATCATTCATCCCCAAATTCATCCATGAAAAGACCATGCTGTAAAAGCCGCTGCTCCTTCAGTCTGGGACCCATAACGAGATGCATGAAGCCAACCAACAACTTGGAGCCAACTCCAGCCAATGTGCAGCTGGAAGAACAGCCGCCCAGTCTTAACCAGCTAAACCACAATCAACTTACCTGTGGACAGGAGAACAGATGCTTGTTATAAGCCACTGAGTCTGGGGTTGTTACACAGTATTATTGGGGTAGCAGCTGGTTAATACACCTTACATAGTCTGAAGGAGAACATTGGGTTGAATGTGTTGAAAAGTAATAACCCAGATAAATTCATTATCTAAGTCTCAAACACCTGGTTTTATAGCTTACATGACTCGTGGCCCTCTAAGTTAGAGCCAGCTAGAAACAAAAGTTCTAACACGGAGAAAATATCCCCCTGCTCACGCCAACATTTTCTTCAATAGTAGCGCTGAAACTTATATATAAAAGCAGCTTTGGAGAGGTAATAG